ACACTCATTAGGCCCATAAGAAAGAAACCTAGTTTGGCGGCGGACGAAAATGGCAATTATAGGCCCGTCGCCAATGTTTCTTTCATGACCAAAGTGGTTGAGAGGGTGGTGGCTGACCAGCTTCAAGCACATTTGGATGAAACAGATGCCCTGCATCCATTTCAGTCGGGCTTCAGGCCGCGCCACGGTACGGAGACGGCATTGGTCACCCTGTACAATGACCTGTTGAGGGAGGCCGACAGAGGTACCAATCACTTTGTTGGTCCCCTCGACATCTCAGCGGCCTTCGATACCGTCGATCACGGTATCCTCCTGGGAAGGCTCTCCGAGCTGGGTATCGATGGCTTGGCTCTCGCCTGGTTCCGCTCCTTCTTGGAGGACCGTCCCCAGAGAGTTCTGCTCAGGGAGAGTGTTTTGGCCCCGTGGAGCCTCAAATGTGGGGTACAGGGGTCGACTCCCCAATGCTGTTTAACATCTATATGAGGCTGTTGGGTGGGGTCATCAGGGGGTGTGGAGCATCGTGTCATCAATATGCTGATGACACCCAGCTCTACATCTCCTTTTCACAAACTACAGGTGATGCCGTCCTGTCCCTCTGGCGCCGCCTGGAGACCGTACTGTAATGGATGTGAAGACTATAGAAAGGCTTCTTTTCTTCTTATGATGACAAGAAATTTTGGAGGAGAGGAAGTTACCATGAATTTTGATACATAAAAAACAGTATCCTGTATCAATATTTATGTGTGTTAAACCCCTGCTATGGAAGATACTGCAGCAATCTGATGAGGTGTTGATTGTACACAGCCAGGCACACCATTGGTACCTTGGATGTATAGGAAACTTTAAATTAAATATTAATGTCCATATATAATGATGTCGTTAAGCTTTAAGACTATGGAATTACACAACAGGATTGCAGTCATTAATACAGATTGTATTAGAGAACATTTTTAAAAGTCATTCTGAATCAGACCAACACTGTGTATCTATGACATCAATGTATTTCACAGTGACCAGTCAGATGCCTACAGAGGATGTGCATGCAACAGCTCCTCCTGCTTATGTTCCCTAGGAAGTGTTCTGTATTGCTGGTATTTAGAGGACACTGGAGGTAATATGTAACCATCATGTTGGCGGAACGCCTCCCCCCACCTATATCTACCCGGATCACCCGCACGAGCCAGGAGGTGAGGCTGAGGAGCCTAACGCCGCGGGAGGCCCAGAAGGAAAGGACATGAAATCGGACCTTCTCGGCGGTCGCGCCTCGCCTCTGGAATAACCTTCCTCCGGCAATTCGTGCGGCACTTTCAAATGAATGAATGAATGAATGAATGAATAATGAAGTAAAAGGCTTTATTATAAATATAAAAGACTGGTCTGAAATTCTTTGGTATGCTCCTGAAGCTAGTGTATATTAGCAAGATGATCCCAAATGCCTCTTTTGTTACTGAATCCACTTCAAACATCAGGTATTTCTCACTCTGTATATGGAAAAAGTCTTTGTAGTAAAATCTTGAGCATTACAGGTACTACAGTCTTTGGCACTTCCCTTCTTTGGGTTTGGAAGGCATATTGAACGCTTCCAGTCTATGTGCCATCCTTTTGCTTTCCACATTCTTGGCACGTTCTTGTTAGGATTTTGATACCTACAATCTCTACTGGTATCCTATCTGTTCCTAGTGATTTACTTCTTCCAACTTCTTTGAGAGCAGTTTTCACTTCCTTTACCAAAACATCAGACTCCTCATCAATGTCATCCTTGCATCCCTTCTGTACAGTTCTTCGGTATATTACTTCCACTCTCTTTATCTTAATCCTGATTAAGAAACACATTCTGCCATTGGTGTTCAGTATTCCTAATCTTGGCTAACTCTTTGTCCTCTTTGTTTCTTCCTGTTTGACTACATGAATAATCTTTTGCTAGTGCATTTCTTTAGCTCTTTAGACACATGCCAGTATCCATCTTCCAAGTTATAGCTGCAAGAGAACACCATCCTTGATCTTGACATAAATGAAACATTTCTAAATTATGATTTTTTTTAATCACATGTTCATCAGAGCACAATTTCTGGTATTAGAAGAGATGAAAAGAAGAATCTTGTACCATCACCTTAGCTGATTTTCAGTTGGCATAGCATGCAAAAAAGGAGGTACATGGTGGAAATGCTTGGAGGGTTCATGCTTTGACACCCAGAAATTAGATTTTAATGGTACTTCTCATGAATTCTGTATTCAAACAAGACACATTTACTATACTATTTCATAACACTGGGTATTCAACATGTAACTGTTGGATTCTTGATTTCATTTTAACATGATAAAACCAAATAAGTTCAGTCATGGGTTAAACCTGCTGATCACACTGACTAAGATGCTTTTCTCTGCAGAGATGTGTACTCACTTTTTTTTTACTATCTTGCGCAAGAAACTTTTAAAATCTTCAAATGAAGAGCTTAAAATTTCTTCTTAAACTGGAAAGATGGAGCATTTTACCAGTCTCTCTTAAATCTTACCTTTGAAGGACCATTTGAATACATCTGGATCATATTCTCTGCCCCTTGTTTTACTTTCAATTCTATATTCAACTGTTTTTTTAATGCCGTCAACCTGTTGTTAGTAGGAAAACGAGGATCACTGTTTGGTGTATCTGGAGTTCTGGGACAATCTGTGAATTACAGACGTATCTATGTTAAAATAAGTCAACAACCCATTTTCTAAAAATATTACATATATTCACAGACCCATTCAAAAGATAAAATAAAATGGACTATACTTAAATCCACCAAAACACTTTCCTAAATTTTTTCAGCAAAAGAGATTCATATTGCAAATGTCTCCACTATTGTTTCTTTGGCATAAATACACTCAGAAGTTATTTCTAAAGATTTTAATACAAATAGGAGCAATCTACTTCACTAATTTTTGTAAATATTACATACAAAAACCCCACAACCCTTATTGTGTCTTCTGTTACTCCAACCCCACAAGGACAAAACTGAACGTTAAACGATTTCCTTTTCCCAGTAGAACAGGCATTTAATAAAGCAAGAGGAAAATAACTCTAGACTTAGAAAAGATCACCCAGTATTTGCAAATCATACGTTCTCTAAATAATTGTTCCAACCCTCAATCAAGTTAAAAGACAAGGCATCCTTAATTATAACAGCAGTCATATGTTACTATGCATCAATGTCCTTAATAGGAAAAATCAAAAACAGGTTTTGTTTGACAATAACTTTGAGTAAAAGAAAACACCCAGAGTCCTAATAATGTATCTATAATTTATTACTAAAGATGTTCACAACAGATGAATATAGTGTAATTAATTAATTGCACTTATGTGCTGCCTTTCTCCCAGTGCTCCTCAGTCTTCTGCTGAAGAAGATACAAACATAAAGAAATTCTAACAAAAATCTGATCCCTTAGGGACCAAATTTTGCATTGCAAATTTTGTAGAATAACCAGTTTCTATATTCGTGCTATCAGCTGTTTTGCATCTGGAGACTGATTCTCTACTGCAGAATGCAGGTAACAGCAAAAAGAAGTTGGAATAAGTTTCCTAAGAAGTAGCCATCTGACTCCATCTGAACATGTTGATACAGTTAAAGAGGAAAAAATAAGAAGAGATTGAGAGAGAATGCAGAGGCAAAATGTTTCAGGTCTAAAGAGAAATCAAAGCTTCTTTGTGTAATAAGTATGTTTATTAATAATCTAGCTTGTGTAATATCTTACAGTTACAGGCATGGCTGTCTACTTTGACAGACTCTGACCTCTGTCCCAGAAACATTTCTTAGATTTTCTGTGACAGCCAAATCTACTTGGAATACAGTTTATCAACTGGCTAGGGGCTGCAACCACTAGTGTCCCTTTCCTGTCTTAATGAAGCACTGTCACTTTTTCCATTATCTCTATCCTCATCTGGTCATGACTCTCACCACCAAATAAATATAAAGAAGACATGCTGTATATTTGCATTCTTTTTGGCTAATGAAGCAGATTTTCAGCCACAAAAGCTCACACTAAAACAAATCAGCCAGTCTTCAGAGTGCCACAATCTTTTGCTTCCCCTCTGCCTTTCCCCTTTAATTTTGATAACATGGGGGGGGGCATGAGATATCTGTTCTGCAACAAGATCAAACCCATATCACAATTTTGTAAATGTACTACAATCAGTATATTACTTTAGTTAACCAAAGGATTACTAAATATGCAGCTATCTTTTAAATCTTAATTTTTAGAGGTACTTGCATCCCTGTTAATGATTACCTTGATATCTACCAATTTATGCAGCAACTTCCAGTATTTTAAACAGGAATTATTTAAATTAAACTGGTACTCATGTAAAAACAAGGTGGCACTTTCTCACCTAAAATAGGTGAATCAATCTCTTCACAAATACCAATAATCTAAAAAAAAATTTAGGGCAATGAAAGCCAAAAAGGGCATTAGAAGGTATTTCACCTGAAATATTACAAATAAAAGTAGATAATAAGGTTGTCTGTAATAAATCATAGCCTACCATATTTTTCTGTGTATAAAACAACACTTTTTCCTTAAATAATTATACAAGAAATTGAGGGTCGTTTTATACACAGAAGGCAGCCGCTTTCCCTGCCTTTTGCAAAGCCACAGGGATTTTCAAGGCTGCGTTACCCACTTCCTAAGAACTCAGCCGTGAAAGGGCGGCACAATCGCACACCTTTGATCCTGAAGCAGCCATGAAAGGCCTTCAGGATCAAAACAGTGTGATCATTCAGCCCTTTCACAGCTGCTTTATCCACTTTCTAAGCCCCGTGGGGATCAAATTTTCTAATTTGGGGGTTAGAATAGGGGGGTTGTCTTATACATTGGGTCATCTTATAAACGGAAAAATATGGTAAATGATGTGAGCGGAGTGCTCTTCACAGAATGCTTCTGCTGAAAAAGGAAATTTAGCTGAATATACTCCCTCCCATTAATTATGGAGGACCGGGGAATCCTGTGGAACAGTTTATTAGATGGAAATGAAAACTGGATCACCTTCTTTCAGCACTGGAAGCATCTGCTGGATTTTTTACTCTTCTACAGAACAGTTACAGAAGGAAACTCTGCATCTAAGCCTACTTCTTTTGTAAATATCTTAATGCTGTAAATTTTAAATACAATTTTAAAAAACATTATCTAAGAGAAGCCATCAGATGAACCTTTGCTAGCTATTAAGGACCAATGAGGATTGCCAGGAAACTCAGATGTCAGGCTTGGAAGGAGGGAAAAGGAAAGAATGAGGAAGAAAATGGAAATGTAAAACTGGGGGGAAAGGGCAGGAAAATATGAGGGGGAGAAAAGGAGAAGGAAACAAATTGAAGGAGACAGGTATATAAGGGAGCGACAGGGTAGGTGGGTAGAAGAGCCTGGATGGTCAGAGACCTAAAAAGAAAGCTGAATGATTATTACCTGAAGGATGGGAGTGGATAGAATTAGAGAACCTGTGGAAAAACGGATGGTCCCAGGAGAGGAAGTAGAGAAGAAACAATCGGCCAGACCCCGAAATACTGTAAGCTATCTTATTGGGGAGAGTGAGAGAGGTGAGAAAGACAGTGAGAGAACAAGAACAAATGAAGGAAGGTGGAAGAAAAGAAGAAGCCGGGGGAACATGGAGTCCCCCTCCTCAGTCTGAAAGAACTCAGAAGGAACACCAGACAACCAAAAGGTGAAGAGAGAAGAGGAATGGTAGGCAAAAGAGGCAGAGTCACTGCTGCAGAATCCATGCAAGAATCGGAGTTGAAAAGGGAAAACCATGGTTAGAAGCTAAGAGAGAGAGGAACTGTTAAGGGGAAGTTAACAGAACCCTTTCCTCGTTGGAGGAGGAAAAGAAGTTGATACACAAGTCCATTATAAATATATCTGTTGGACAGACGTTAATAAATGTTGGAAGTTTGAGGCAAGAGTCTGAAGTGGTCATGTACGGGGAGAAAAAGGGGGGAGGCTACACAAGAGACTTCTCACAAGTAGACAAATAGAACTATTTGTGACTTAATATACCAATCACAAGGTATATTAATGAGCTGTCTTTGTTCTTCACAAGGATACTGCCCATGAGTTTGCTTCATTCTGATATTTACTTCTTTAATTATTCTTCCATTCCAGCAAAAAAAAAAAAAACCTCTTTTTTTCCTTTTGATTAACAGGTCTTAATATAGAGAGCACATTTACAAACTTCCGCAAACATAGTGCTACTCTCAATAGAGAGATAAATGCTTTTTTTAACAGAATGAAACTTGATATTTCTACTATTACAATTAAACCTTCTGTTTGGAAATGTAGTGTAGAATCTGGTAGTTAAGCTATTGATGAACTTTAAGGATTCTTTCCAGTTCCACTCACATATTTCATTATATTATATCTTCAACTGAAAAGTGTTGTAAAATCGTTTCCAAATCAGCTGAGGCAGGACAGTAAGTGGGAGAGACTATAGAACTACTGTACCTAACTGTAGGACTATCACTTTCTATACTCCAGAACTAAGTAACACAAACAGCTTCATGATATGGTAAGTATATTCTTTTACTACTTACTATATTAGGACAATAATTATGTCCAAAGCCAGAAATAACATAACCACCTCAGTTCTGTCTCATTTAAGACTTCAGAACTCTATTTCATAAAGTAGCTTTAGCGCATTTTCAGCCACTGCCAAATTCCCCTCAACTAGGGGTACTAGCCTGCACCTCTAATGTCTCCTTCTGACCTTTACACCCTATCTTTTTAGCTGGCTCCAAGTAATTCAGATTAATTTACAAAATCAGATTCCCATATTGCATGACAGCATGTTACTAAGCTTTTCAATTAGCATAAAGCACCCTTAGCTAATTATTTAACACTAATCTTAATTATTAAACTGTATTGAGCTGCTTGTATGGTGTGCCCAACAGAAGATCACGGGACTTATACTATAACCTTCTTCAGCAAATTCTCATTAAGGCCTTTATTAAAAGCATGCTGTCATTATCTTAGGAGATTCAAGTTGAATGGAATACAATAACTTGATTTTATTTTAAAACAGAACAGAAGTCATGGGTTCCAAGAGAAGTCACCTGCTTTGAACCTTGCACTCAGGTGCCAAATTCACAGGCCAAAAACTGGTTGTCTAGCACAGTAAATCACACTAGAATAAACCCACTGAATCAAAACAGATTTGATAAGTCAACTCCTCCATGAGTTCCCTTGATTCAAAAGGGCCTATTGTAACAGCTACTTATTATGCTAGCAACTATTACAGTATACCCTTTTGAATCAATTGAACCTACAGAGGAGTTGACTCATCAAATCCTCATGGATTCAAAGGGCCTAGACTAGTGCGACTTACTATGCTAAACAGGATTTTGGCCATTAAATCAACACCAAGCACAATGAAAAAACCTTAAAGCTGCGAATAAAAGCAGATTATTAACAAGATGATTCACATTTTTCAGATGCCCTTAAAAACAAAGGAAAACAAATACGTATACATTCCCACTTTCTAAATTACCATAGATCTAAGAAGCTGAAAATCTGCATTATGAAATCAATATCTTGATCAACTTTTCCCGTTTTACTTTTTTCCTTTTCTTTTCCCTTTCAATTTAGTATTTTCCACATCCTTTTTCTCTAGCTCACTATTTCATCCTCCTTTTCACTTCTATTATC